ATTAGTAATGGGGAGAGACAGGGCAAGAAGAGCCAGAACAAATACCCATTAGGATTAGACAACCTTGTAGCTGCTCCATAAAAGCTAAAACTGTCTCTGGTCAGAGCCTGAATAGGCAGAAGGTCGAGGAGCTGTTGCTGAGCTGACAGTGGATGACATAGCTCTCTGGAGAAAAGGGGGTAGGGGCAGTGAGCTGATTTTGCTGGAGGTGTTTTTCAATAGTATGTGTGGGACTGTCATCTTAATTTGACGTCCATTGGACTGGCCCGCCTGCCTGTTCTCTGCTCCCACCTAGTCCAGATTTACAGCATCACAGCCCTTTTCCACTTGGATGCTGGCAGGGCTCTGGGAGAGCCTTTGTCTGATATGTTACAAGGCAAACTCACATCTGCCGGTACAGCTGAGCTGCTCATTCCTCTCTGCATTTGCATGGTCTTCAGCAGTTGCCTCACTGAAGAGCCTGTGTTTAGTCTCCCTTGAAGAACTATGAGGTAGCGCTAGAGTAAATAAAGAAGGGTACTTCGGTCACATCAAGCCAAAAGGAAGGAACTGGGTTCTTGTGAAAAGGGTCTGACTCCACCATTTCAGCACAGAGCCTTTGGTGATGCTCCCAGTGCCCTTCTGTAGTCAGGAAACAGGCTTGAGTTTCAGATGCAGTGCCATCACATGAACGATTTGGGGTCTGCATCTTCCAACACCATCCATAGTCTCCTTGACATTGCCAATTTACATGATATGGAGCAGCATTTGCCTCCTCATACTACCATGGGTTACCCTGAAAAGTGTCCGTGGCTGCTGCCTGACAACTGACAGCTACCTGCTGGAAGTGATGAGCTTCCATGCTGCAGTGAGCTCCGTTTCTGGCGATATTTTAGCTCCTGCATCAATTTTACAAACAAATGCCATAGTAATTACCTAGGTCTGGTGGGTTTTTTTTCCAAAAAACATGAGAAACGTTAAGTACTTCAGAATCTTTCAGTCTCTGCTTCTGTGCTGAGAAGGGATGGCTTTTCTCTGGAGCTTTTTTTCTGAAATTTGTGTAGAGCAGGAACATAGTTCTCAGTGGTGCTGTATCATATAACATTTGGCTAATGCTCTGGGGCTATTTCTGGTAACTGCAACAGGAGTTACAGTGTCAGGGTAGGTATATTATATGTTCTAATAAAATAACTAGTGGTCTGATGTGGACTACATGAATAACAGAGATTTGGAGCCTTTTACCTCATTTGTTTTCATATATATTAAAGAATGAGCTCTTGCTTAACAGAGATTACACAGGGATTACGAAATGTTGAAACGGTAGTTGCAAAAAGCAGTTTTATTCAGCAGCGGATTACTGTCATTTTACTGCACACTTATGAAAAACTGGAGTTTCTAGTTCAAGGGTACAGAAAAACAGACTCTATTAACATGTAGATATCAACCTATATAGAAGTACAGCATTTCAGTTAAAAAAAAAAAGCAAAAAGGCATTTATCAATGCATTTGAAATGAATATAATTTGCATAGTGTCACCAAGCTGTCTGCACTCTCTTCAAAAATATCTAATTTAGAGAAGGCCCTGCACTTGGCAAGCTATCCAATGAATAGGATAAACCAATCCAGATACTGGATAGTGGATGTACAAGTGTAGGGACTGTGCAAATACCCTAGTCCATCCATGATGGGGGGCTAAGCAAAAAGAAGTGCATTATTTAAGGCAGAAGTGTATCATATGTGACTTTTTTGAAGTGAACAAACAAAAAGCCATAACATATTCATAGACCCAGAAATGACTGAGGACACTTATTTCACTTGTAACTTAGGAATTATGGCTTTACCTGTTCTGTTGATGCAGTTCTGCAAAAGAAATCTGCTTCAGCCTATTGATTAGTTCATCCTGCACCAACCTGGGAGTAGTTAATTCTACATGTGCATAATTAAAATTGAATTATACAGATGGGGGTGAGTGATCCTGCGCCAAAACAGGCAACTGAAAAAACATTAGGATCCTTTGATTTATTTTAAAATGTGGGAAATTTTAGGGCAAACAAAACAAAACCCAAATAGTAAACCAAAACACAAAAATGGTGTCAAAATGGGATGCTACCATGGGGAAAGGAAGGAAGAAGATAAATCTTCAGTGAAATATTGATTTTTATACACAAAGAAGACATCACACATGGTAGAGAATATGTAACCAAGAATAAGACAGCAGAAAAGAAATGCACTTCCATGCATTCCCTTAAGGAAGCTGCAGTCACCTAAGCAGAACCTTAAAAAGGCCTAGAAATATCTTCCCTGAAAAAAGGTATCCTGAGAGAAGGGCTTTTGTATTTTTGTGATAATTTACTTTGGCGCTGGGGGTGAAAATTTCATTGGTTTTAGGAATCTCCTTTATCTCCACATGAGTATCTTTCAAAACAAATGGACACAATTTAATGAGTTAAAATTTAATGTATTTGAAGATAAATCACCTCTGGATGTTTTGAGTGAGGAGAAAAATTTTCCATTTTAATCTTCTTAAATTTCTTTCTATTTTTTGCCTCCTTTTCCTGAGGCTGTTTACTCTGCACATATTAGAGGGAAGGATAATGAAGCATTTTAAACAGGCAGGATCCACACTTGTCTCCTTAGAAGGAAGCTTCTTTTTCTGGCTGATATTTTCTTTTTTGAATCCTGCTTTCTGGCTAAGGTAGTGTTCACCAGCAGGAAGGAGTTAAAGAATACCCCAACACCTCAGGAGCTATCTGTCAGGGCTAATCTTGAAGTACAAACAATAAGAGGCTTCAGAAAGAGGGAAGTGGTGATGGCATTTATTTTGCTTCTCTGTAATTATCAATTGAGAATGACTAGGCCTGAGCTGTTAGTAAATATGAGTGGTTTATTGGATGGTATAATCAAAACCTATGCAAGAGAAGACAGAGATACTTCAGTAAGACCAGCTTGTGCGTCTCGAACAGGAGCTCCCAAACTCCATGGCCCCACAACAGGACAGGGTGGCAGTCCATGGTTGGCCTTTCATGCATAGCTAAATAGTCCTGAAAATAATTTTGAAAATGGTAGATGAGGGGGACAAGGCTTTTTCTGATAACTCTTGTACTATTTCCATGGCTAAGGTGCTTGCCCACATAGGAAGCATCTGGTTAGAGTAGATATAACAGGAATCTGTTCTCAAAATGCAAGGTGGCTGTAGAATGGCAAATTGATTTCATACTGATGCTAAATTTCTACTCAGTCATAAGCAAGGTTTTATATGTATTCTCCATGCTGTACAAGGCTGACTGTTAATTTTTCTCATTCTTGCCTTGTCTTGTTGTGGTATGAAATAGCTTCTCATTACATAACTTGAGCGTCCTGAGTCTGCCACATTCATTGTTTGCTGGCATACCTTCTTATTTTGAGTTAGAAATCGGTAAGTTAGCTTCAGTTTATGTTACTGTCTGACCAATTTACAGGCTTATACGCAATACCATGGATTCACAAGTCAGCCTTTGCTGAATAATGACTCAGTTTGGGCCTGGGAGCCAGAGAGCTAAATATAGCACATAGCATTAGAGCCTGGTACAGCTGGGAAAAAAAATCCATTTTGGTACTTGTGAAAGGTCAGTTTGGAACAGAAGCGCCTGGAGTGCCAAAACACTTGCCCTGACCACTAACTTCACTCTGTCCTTATTTGAGAAGTAGAGCTATGGGTCTGGTGGGGACAGAGAAAAGTGCAGGAAGGTAAGACAGGGAGAGGAATAGATGGAAGAAATTGACACTGAAAAGGAACTGATTCTCATGTCTCTCAGCTGATTATTCCAGGCACTGGTGCAGGATGAGGGCTAGAAAATGTCCAGTCCTGTGGGAAAGTGGTGGTGTAGCACTGAAGATATCTGTGGTACCAGCCCTGAGCTATGCACAGGCTTTCCCAGGCTCCAGTCTTAGTAGGAAAGCAAAGACCCCCCACTGTCCCCATCTTTGTCTCTGTGGAGATACTACCAACTCTGTACTCCCGATGTAAGACCGTCCTCTCCACATGATAAATATCTTCTCTTTGGAAGAAGCACTGGGGCTGGGGGGAGCATATTTCACAGTGTTCAGTAATGTAGCTCACTGGGACCAACTGCTTGGTGGTACCCTGCCTTCCTGAAAGATGCTCCAACAAAGCTATTGGAGGAGTTTGGCACGCTGGAGGGGAGCATCCTGAAGTAGTGCTGTTCTATATTAAAAAAAAAAAAAAAAAGTCACAGCATGTCAAACTGCCTCAGTTGCAAGACAGGGTCCCATACCGAGACAATAGAATAGCATATGAGTCTAGCCATATATATCCCATTTTTATGATCAGTTTGTGAATTTTTCATAGTTATTTGTAGATAGATTGTGGATCTCTCAACTGCACTAACTCAACTGAAACTGTTGAATGAAAAACAGCAGTGAGGTACCTGGGAGTCCTGCCTGGTGAACAGGAAGTTGATTGCAAGCCAGCAATGTGCCCTTGTGAAGACTATTAGGGAGTCATATAGTCAAACCGCTGTGGGACAGGAAACCCATCCTTTTAGGGTGTATGAAGGAAAGGGGTTGGGATGGCAACCCACACTTTTATTTTATCTTGGTACTAGGGTGCCTCTGGTAGAAGAGAAATTTACTTTGTTGGCCCCACCTCTGAAACACCAGCAAGACTTCTTGCAAGGCCCCATGAAAGGGCTCAGAAAGGAAACAGCAGACAAAAACGTCATTTGGATTGCATGCAGAAGTGTTGACATGCTTCCAAAGAGAAGATGCTACATACCTGAGCCAGCTAGGCTATTGATAACACCACCAATTAACTGGGTCTATATTCTGTATAATGACAACAGCTCCCTTTAAGAGCTTTATTAAAACTTCCTTTCTAGGTAAATAACTGTTTCTCCTGATCAGAACTTCTGGAATATTAGCAGATATACAATGGAAGACATAGTTCACTTCCACTTGAACTGGAGCCATGGTATACTCTTACTAGGGAACTACCATCTTGTTGAGTGTGTACAAACTCAGCATGCTCTGTGCAAATTCTTTATTGAAACAATGATCAATTTACAAGCTGGATCACATTTCATTTTGCCACTTCAGCATGAACTGGTCTCTGTGGTTTTCGGCTGTGAACTATAAAATCATAACAGTTATTCAAATCAAAAGAACACATTCATATTTGTCTTACATTTCTTGTAAAATTAAAAAGGATTTTATAATAAATGAAATATAACTTAAGATACTTTAGTGCAAGCATTTCCTTTGCATCTAAGAAGCTTTCAATTGTCCAACTAAGTATGGCATACCTAAGAGGCCAACTCTTAAAATAGCATGCTGCCAAGGTATTCCATGAGAACTTTCAAAATTCGACACTGTTAACACTTTCCAGAATTAGTTGATCTGAACCAAATTAAACATCAGAAAGCCCTGGTTATACATTACAGTACTTTTGTCAAAAGGTAATTGCAAATTCAGGAGCTGACATAGTATGTACATTAGAATAAAACAGGCACTGATTTTAAAAAAATCAATATCTGCCACTCTGCAAGTCTTATAATTATCCAGTAATTTTTAAGCACAGGAGCAAACTGCTGTGCCTTACCTAATACCAATAAACCTGCCTAAAAATGCTGATCTACGGGTTCTTTTAAATTTTTTAAATTACAATCTGAAAAAATGACTGGAGTGTAGGTTTCATCACAAGCATACTCAAATCGGAGAACAAAAAAGGATCAGGAGTAAACAAATGTTGCTCAAAAAGAAAACGTTGAATAAGTAGGTAGTGAGTACTACGTTCAAGTGGTCTGACTAATATGGTCTTACATTCAGTGATAAAAGAATAGTAAAATTCAAATCCAACACTGGTTTCTTGTGCTGCAGAATTCTAGTCACGTTTCATGACGTTTTGGCAAAAATATTTTAAAATGGTGTAAATATATCCTGCAAATCTCTTTCCCTTTCTAAGCCTGGCTTGGTGTTCCTTGTGCTTTTAGAACACAAATTCTGTTGGACTCGATTTTCCAGATCCTGAGTGTTTTAAGAACCATTAGTGTTTGGTGATATAATAAATAGAACAATGGAACAAAAGGTGTGCATAGTCCAGTGATGGAAACAGATCACTCTAATGTCCCTGAAGCATTTGAGGTGCGTGAAAATACACAACAATGAAAATGTTAAGGTTTTCTTAGATCCATCACTAGTTTTGTATTTGTTAGTTGTGTTGCACCATAACATGGCCATTCCCTAAGAAATACTGCCACACAGAATTGTTTACTTTATAATAGCACAGGAAAGATGGGTTTGGGTCTTGCTTCCCATCTATCTCCGACAAAGTGTCTGAAAGCATGTAAAAAGCCATAGGCTTACAGGTGTTACACAATGGATGCATAAAGATACTGAACAGCATACATGAAAACAGAAAAAAATACATAAACCAGAGCCATTAAAATCTGTATTTTCTTCAGATACAGTGCTGTTCTGCCTTTATTCCAGTAATACCACAAAGCTAAACGTCCAAAGAATTTATAGCAGACTGGCTGGACCAGTCCTACCTGTGAACTCTCAGCTCTGACTCAGTCCAGCTCCCGCAAAGTCAAGGTTCCCTTTGACCTTGGAACAGCAGGAATTCTGCACTACACCTGATACGTGGACCTAATCCAAATAACTGTTGCTCATATGTGGTTTGCAATGTACATTTGTTTGTGTGTACTTTGAATACATGCTCTTTGTGGGCAACCTTTGGAAAAAACCATAATCTGTATCTTCAAGGAAGTTTATACAAAGATACTGAAGAAAACCATGGGGATTGTTTGCTCTCCAATGTTTCTCATTAAATAAATAATAAACAGGCTGCAGGACAGCCTGTGAGCAGCAGTCAGGATCAGAACTGCCTGGTACCAATCACCATGTGAATATATGAAAGGGGCTGGTCTCTACTGTTAAAAGTTCATAATTAAAAAGTAATTAAAATTAAAATACTATAGTTTAATAAATAATTTTGAAACTTAAAAAACCACAACAGTTATTTTTATGCTTTCAAGGAGAACACCCTTGCTTATCTGTGCAATCTCAGTTGGGCACCAGGCAGGTAACTTTAGAATGCATAAGCATTGTTCATAAATGCTGGATAGGCAGAAAAATCAAGAAGCTTCTTTCCAAGAGGTTAAGGTGAATTAAAAGAATTTAGTGCAAGTTCCTGCTTTTGTTTCTGCCCTCATCCTTTTTCATACCAGAAGCAAATCAAGTAACTTGAAAAACTGATGTGAACACTAAACAGAAATGTACTTTGGACTCAGACAAGAAGTTAACAGTTTGCATCAGTAGTATTTTCAATCACACCAGTCAGAAGTGAGGTTCTTTATGGTATTCTCTTAATCTACCCTGTGTTCTAGATTTATATTGCTTCGCTGGAACTCAAATATTTCCAGCCACATTCCTAGAAGGACTTTGCCCTTGCTTGTGCAAATGCATTTTGTATAGATGCCTGCCACTGTGGTGAGCATGAACATTAGGCAACTGAATGCTGTCATTTTCACAAGTTGGTCACAAAATCTGAAGTCCATTATTAAACATGTATTTGTTTAAATAAGTATAGGTAAATACAGAGCCTTCTCTGCATCACCTACGTAAGTCATAAGGTGTTCCTGTATTACACTGCTAGGGAAGCTCTGCACTTTAACATGGGAAAGTTGACAAAAAAACTCAGTTCTATCAAGGGTTTTTTCAGATAGCTGCAACATTGACTTTGTTTGGTCTCAACTACCCATGCAGTTAATGTACCTGATTGCCTCCAACAGAGACCTTGTGCAGATGTGGCTACTTCGATAAAATGTCCAGAAAGCCAGCCACACATCATCTCCCCATAAACCTAAGTGACTTCATTTTCTGCAATATACTTGATTCCAGATTAATTTTGAGTATATATACTTACACTACAGTCCTTCCTAAAAACTATAAGGTGATAGTTTGTTCATTAGTTTCAAATTAAATATGTGTCAGGTAATTAATGCTATTAATCCTACACAAACTCCTCCTTGTAAGTGCTTTCTTTCCAGACTCTGGAGAAAGTTCTTCTTATTGTCCGTCTGAAATAGAAATTATCACTTCCTTTCCACTCCTGGCATTTCCTGGCATAAATGTTGATCCTTTTTAATGCCACAATTGCTGTGATCATTAAAGCTTTACTGGGATAGAGTCACATGTACTCGAGCAGTGAACATCCTACATAGGTAGGAGGTTCTTAAAATACCAAAGCAATTATAACACAGTAAACAGTTTGTGTGATGGTCATTGTAATTTCACAGGACACTTGATTTTATTTATTATTTTTTTTAGTTTGGATAAAACACTCTCAAACTTATGCTTATAGATTAATTTAGGCTTGATCCTCAGAATATGAATCTGCACAAAATCGGGAATTCCAAGAAAAGGGTCTTCTGCCATTTCAGACTTGTCATCAGCCAATTACTGGCATTTGCAGGACTGTTAATGAACCTGCATATCTTCTGGTAAGGTAGCACATAATTTCTCCTACCAAATTACTACAAAAACAAGACATCTTGCATATTTGCAGCTGTTTTCCACATAAGCTTCTGGCAAAGTAAAAAATGGTCAAATATACGCAAAAAAAACACCCTGCAGAGCTGTTGGACTGCAACTTTCTGTAAGATGTCTATGGGCTTCCCATCTGTAAAATATACCTCAAAGCTGTTTCTCGATGTGAAAAAAACCAATTGTTGGCATCTTCATTCCATGGAAAAGGGAAAACTATTTCCCATGTGCCTAAGCAGTGTGGTCTCAAATGAATTGGAAACATTTTAACTTTCTTTAATAGCCCTCTAAATCACAATGCAGCTGAGCAAACAGGCTTTGTAAATGGGATCTATTAGGATTTTATTTGGCTACTGGAGTGCTGCCTCTTGGGCAATATTTCAAATTCAGAAGATAATATTTGCAAAAATGCAATAGATGGAAATAATGAGAGTGAAGGAGGAAAATAAAAAACAGTTTTATGTTTAGTAAGTTCAAGTGTCCTACATCAAAGACTACCATTGACTACCAGCAGGCCACTACAGGTGACTCCAACCTAGAAAATGCTGAGGTAAATGTTCCTTGGAAATACTCCTAATCGAAAAGAGCAATTAATATTAATGTAATAGCAATTACTCTGCCATACATCATGGTAAAGTCAAACTGAGAAGAAAAGTGCCAAATAATCCACATACATGCTTTTGCTATGATAGTCTCCAGGTAAGGCTTAGCGGCAAGTACAATATGTATTTTTAAAAGAGCTCCACCTGATTTTCCTGCTATGCATAGATTCAGGAGTAACTATCATACATGGCTTTCATATATAACGCATGTATTTTTGTCATTTGCCAACGCTGTGTCATCAGAACTGAGTTCAGCAGAAGGCTCAGGAAGGGGCTCTGCAGGAAGTGCTGGTGTTTGAGGTGTGTCTTCTTCCTTGGTGTCCAACTGCATGCTTTCTTGTGACTGGCCATCCATGCAGTCCTTTTTGGACAACGGGTGAACTGACACTTTTATTGCAATCTGTTGAGGTGGCTCATGCAGTGATGATGCATCAGAGTCAGCTGTGGGAGAGTCACTGCGCTTCAAAGCATTCGGCATCATATAGAGCTCATCTGTTTCAGTGGTTTCCTGGCCTTCTGCTGTCTGCCGTACAAAATTCTGTCCTTGCTCCTCCAGACCGACAACCTCCATAATTTCTTCCATTATAGTCCTGCAGTTCATGATGAGAGGTGGCAAAGGTACGCTCCGAGCAAGCTCTTCGATATAGCGAGCAAATTCCATGGTCTTGAACTGTGTTACTTTGGCAAGCTCGAGCGTTTTGGCTGAAGTGATAATGGGGATGCGCTTCGCAATCTCAAAAGCTTTCTGGAGTTTCTCTGCCCCTTCTGTTCTGAAGAAGTCATTGATTGCTTTCTCTGTTTTCTTCAGATGACTGCTCATCATACATAGCCGAGTAATGTTCAGTATCATAACAATGGTAAAAGCTACAAGGCAGACAATCATGTAATAGATTCCCATATCTCCGGAGGTAAAAACAACCCTCAGCGTCACAGTATTGTTAACACTGCCATACGTGTTAGATGCGACACACGTGTATTTACCTCTGTCTTCAAAAGACACGCTGGTAATGTTTAATAGCCCATTGTCAAGAAACCACCATTTTCCTGCTGGAGAAGAGACAGAGTAACTTAGTTAGAAGTATTTTGTTCACATGATCAGCATAGACTTAAGCATTGGCTTTGTTAAACTGGCTTCAGATTTCTGAAGAAGGAAATAATGTTCACAAGATGACAAAGAATTTACCATCACAAAGGCCTGTCTGTCCCTGAGGTGTTAGCTGATGACACCAACTGTGAATAATGGGATCATGCCCTAAAAAAGTCTCATTAAAAATGTTAATATGCATGAAATCTATCACAATCTTATGGTCAGTTAAATTACAAAGATCGGACTACTTACCCCTGAGACCCTCCCAAACACATGCAACACTTCCTCAAAGAATAGTGACAATGGGATTGTGAGGCAGGAAAACCTACTTAGCCCTCCTTGTTTTGTTCCCTGACAATGCTTTTTCTTACAATTGGGTTACTTTTGGTGTTCTGTTAGAGTATCTCATATAGTTCTGTTAATGTAAACTTTAAAAAGACTAAAATTTCAGACATTATATACTACCCTGCCTGTCCTCTGAGGTGTTCAGAATCTAATTTTGAAGTGTGGTTTTAAATAAAGGGAAACAGGACAGGAGGAATAAGATGGATGGGAAAGAGAAGTGCCATGACTAATTAAGAGAACATTTTCTTTGCCAGTATTAACTTCCACGCACCACAATGGAATTTCTTTTACTTTTAAAAGTAATTTCTATCAGTGTAATATAATTGATCTCTTTGGTCACTACATGTAATTGTACATGTACATTTCATATCCCCTGGACCTGGCACAACATAACAATTTAGTTATTAAACTAAGTTTTAAATGACTTGTTAAAATCCAGTGTTCCTACCACTGCTAAAGTGATTCAAGATTCAGCTAGTTACTGTGTTTGCCGTTATATATTGGTAAAGAATTAGATTTTTAGTTCCCCAAGTGAGCATTTTTATTCAAATATCACACCATTTAAGAGCTGAGGATGTATGTGTTTTGCCTTATTCAGTGTGATAGGACTTACTAAATTGCAACTTTGCTATAACAAACATGATTCAACTGCAACAGGAAAGCCTGTTGTCAATTCTTTCCTTCGTGTAAACCCACTCCTGCAAGTGTTCACATGGTGGAGAGAGCAGCCAGAAAGCGTAGGAGCACCTCTGAGCCTTCTCAACACTTCACACAGGGAGGTGTCATACAGAAGATTTCCTTTTAAGACAATGACATAGGCTGATGTATGCCAACAAGATCAGCTAATACATACTGCTGCTCACAGACAGTATCAACTGTTTTGAACCTCTGTAACATGATCCCAAGCCATTGCTGACAGGTATCTGCTGAAGGCAGTAATGGAATTTCAGTAATCTTCCACAGGAAGTAATGTGAGGTGTTCCCCTATCTTTCCTATCAGAAAGTTGTTTTTCCTTAAATCTAACCTAACCAGCTGCAATTTAAGTCTATTAAGGCAGCTCAGCAAAGACACAGAATCTCTGACTAGAAGACTAAAACAGCGCAAATGTGCAATGCATGTAAACCACAAGGCAAGGATTGCAGTCCTGCCACAGGTTGGTGCATGCCTGGCTTCTACATTTATTTTACCATTTTCATGGAAGTTCCTTTGTTGATAAAAAGGTTACTCTATTTTTTTACTTTATTTCCTTCAAGGAAGGATCTGTGGGCAATTCTGAAACTCATTAGTCAAAAAAAGCCTTTAATTCAGAGTAGTTATGGGCTTTTACCATTTTGAAAGTTTTTTCTAATTAAACATGGCTTATCCAAATTAGGTTTTTTTTACATTATCTTTAGTAGAAGCCTATGTAGAAAGTATTCCCACAAGATCCCTGCCTCAGTTCTTAATTACATCTTTTTATCCTCTTACTTTGAATTTTTAACTTAGCTGAAACACTATTTTTTGCCCTAGCTTAATTCTTGAAAACAGTTAAGCAACTTTGCCTGAAATTAAAAAATACAGAATAAAAAGTTCAGTCTAAAGCAGACCTTCACATAAAAAAATCAACCCAATCTTCTAAGCTAGGGAAATTCAGAGGAAAACTCTCTTACAGAGGAAATGTCAGCAACTGGAACAGATGACGCTTCTTTCTCCACCTCTAGAATAAGACAAAATACAGAGTATTGGCTGCTCAGTCTATCTTGGAGGTGCAATGTTGGCTAACTAGGTCTTTATTAATTGTAAAACGACAAGATGCCTTGCTGATGTATCCTGGCTCCAGCTGTTATAAATGACATAATAGCATTGAACTGTGACTCAATGACTGGGTCTGTGCCAGTGGATCCTGGCAGATAGTAAAAGCCTAATGAGAAAACAATGATTAGAAAAAGGTATCATTGCTGGGTTTTGATAATTCAGTGCCATACTCAATGCAACTATACACAAAATAAAGAAAGGTCTTGTCCTAGGAAATATTTCTTACGGGAAGATAGAGAGTTCCTCAAAGGAGGAAGCGCAATGTTGAAAGTCTAGTTTAAAGTGAGAGTGTCTTAATGCTCCATCCGCAATTTTTACTAATTTTGTCAAAGTTTTTGTGCACGTACCTAAACATTTGTGTTAGTATCTACCTCTCTTAGTTGACTATAAAGACCTAAAGTTAGATGCCTGACTAAAGGGGAAAATTTCTGTTAGTGAGCCTTAGTAAGACACTCTAGTGCACTAATCACAATATGTTGCCATGACCACACAAATTATATCTGAAAGTCCACTTTCTAGGTCAAGTAGTTCCTTTCTCTAGCTTTATTCAGAAAATTATAAAATAGTGTAATGTAAAATATAACCAGTTATGCTGTAAGCTTTTAGAGATACACTATGCTGTTGCACATCCAGCTGGGTCAATCATTACCCCCGTCATAGCAGAGTTCTCCCTCAGGTCAACTATTAGTTAGGCAAGCTATCGTGCATTTATTAGGAATAACCAAGAGTCTATTTCATCATGCTGTGAACAAAGAAGTCCGTTTGGAAGGATTACATGAACAAAACACCTTCCATTCCCCCCGAAACGTTCCCTAGAATATAACTAGGATTATCACCCAAACCTTCCATTTAAGGAAAACAAGCTCATGTGTAATTAAGTTCTCTGGCAAATGCAACTGAAGAGTCTTAAATACAGCCAGGAAGGCTCAAACTCGGCTTGTCCGTCTGACTGCTGCCCTATATAGCTTTTTCTCTTGGTCATTCAGGGCATCTCCTGTTTCTCACACAGCCATGGCACTATGCCTAAAAACAGGAGGCATATCAGGGAGTTAGCTGTGTTGAATTCATGCCAACAAATTACTCCCATATGTCAAGAGAAGCCTCCCTTGAGTTGGAAAACAGCTTTTTAGTCTTTTTTGGTGCCAGAGAAGAACAAAAGAGGAAAGAACAGGAAACAGAATCAAACCTGAAGTCTTCCAATGAATAGAAGCCTGTCTACACCTTCTGTTAAGTGTTACAGCTTCTTGCTATGTGTTGCTATAAATAATACATTACAAAATGTTATTGTTTTCTTTGAAGGTGCACACAAAAAAAATATGGCTGCCACCAGGTTTTCATATATTTTCACACAGGGAATCACCACAGTCAGGCCATTAAATTCAGATTATTGGTCAACTTCATGAAGTCAGAAGTGTCTCTGGACAGGCCATATCAGTGAGAATGCCAAGACCTTACCTTTATTCTCTTCCTCTTGGAGCAGGCGGCCATTGGAATTGTACCATCTGTAATGTGGACTCGGACTACCTTGGACATTGCAGTCGATCAAGGCACTACTCCCCTCCTTGACTATAATATGGTCGATGCGGGAGATCACCACAGGCACAGATCCCGTGCCCACTTCAGTGCGGTTGAAAGTGCTATTAGTCACGTCCTCAGCAGTCGTCAAAGCTGCTAATAAGATGACAAGGCGTGTGGTAGGCAGAAAGTACCAGAAGTGGTGGCTGTTCAGTATGTTCATTTTCCTTCAGTGGTATATGCAACTGGCTGGGAACTGGGATCGGCTCTATTAAACACAGGCCTTTGAGGCGAGGAGGTCACAGGAGAGTTCTACTTTGATCCGTGCAATTTTATGTTTAAAATATCCTATAAAATAAATAAATAAGTACAATGAGATGGCATGTATAAACAATCCATTAGATGTGCTCTTTTAAAATAGTGACACATCCATTAATGCATTTCACAATCATCAGCTCAGTGTCTTGTCTAAATGCTAATGTTATCACAGTCCTTATTCTTACTGGAAAAAGATGCATACATTTTCCTGACAATAGTGTTGTTCAGACTGGCAGGCGTGGGAGAAGGCTTTTATCACCTAGACACTTAGCAGCAATTTATCTACAGCAGCAGCTACAGTTTTATGCCAAAAGTTCTACAGATTTTTCTTTTTTCTTTTTTTTTTAACATTTGCAAAATCAACAGGAAAAACAAAGGTACAGCACATTAAAGCTGTCACTACCGGTTCAGTGCTGCAGCTCTGTCACGTGCATGGTCTTAGGTGAATTGCGGAACATGGTGTAAGAAAAAAATGCTCCAGGAAAGGCTTTTGGAGATGATGCTGGAATCCTTTATAAATACAATTTTGTCCAAAGACAATAGCACATGCAGCAAAACATCTCCGACCATTCACTTTTCTTAAACTACTGCATTTTTAAAAATTTTCTGAGACAAAACACAGCATGGAAGAATATTCTTAAAAGAGGATATTTAGTAGGTGATAAAGTCATTTCAGTGCCATTTTTAGATCAGATTTAGGAAGAGAAATACTCACTGGTAACATAATTATGGGTAAGGTTTCTTTGAGATACAAATGAAGTTGGGACTTTTCCATTCCTTATGGCATTAAGCATTTTGCCTATATACTTTTTGGACACTCACTACAGTGTTTTTCCTCAACTAATCATCTACAATGAGCCTTGTCTTAAACAGCCATTTCAGCCTGTAGATAGAGGAGGGAGGGGAGGTTGCAAATGTGCTCTCTGTTGGCCTCATTATGCTCCCAGGGAACACAACTGGCATTCAGTACTGGCAGAGGGCACGTCGTTGGCCTCAAAATGAGCACCTTCAAAAATTTCACTCAGAGTCTAAGGGCTTCAAATCATGTTAAAACCACATCAGAGTATCTAACTACATTGGTTTTAGTCATGTGTTTGCAATGTAAATAATTGAAACTTAGTGAAACTTATTAGTTAGAGGAATCTACCTGGGATCCAAATATGGGTAACAAAGTATTGAACAAGTCTTCCCCAAATGAACATTTTACTTGCAAAACTTTACATTTTATTACAGATCTGGCTGACACTATGGTAACTTATTCCTCTTTGCATGGAAAATGATAGCTGATGAGATTAGGTCAGTTCCATATATAAAGGAAACTAAAATAAAAACAAGCCAACAATCCACCCCCTTCCCTCTTTTATTCTTTATGCAAGAAGGAAATAAAATAACATTATTGTCTTTCACTGGAAATATTTGATGTGGGTTGTTTTCTTCACTATCCCCTCTTCTCTTTGAGGCAATGAACTTGATTTCATACAAATAGAGACAACTGTTATTAAAAAAGCAAAGTAGTTTCCTCCATTTTGTAGGATGAAGAGACAACTGTTATTAAAAAAGCAAAGTAGGATGTATCATTACTAGAAATGACAAACTATGGTTTTTTAGATAAGCTGCATGCATGGTATAGATGCCTATCACAACTCCTGCCTTCGTTTTTTTTTTCTCTGTTTTTCTGCTTATTGAATGTAGAAATATTTGTCTTGAATAGCCAGAATAATTTTTAGCTTTAAATTAATATGCAAATCTCATTTGTCATATAAAGCTATATAAACAATGACTTCGGAAATCCATTTCCAATTATGCAAAGTGTGTACAGCCTGCGCTTTTGAAGTTCTCTATAGGTATTGCCTGTCTGAATCTGCACTTTGGAAAAAAACCTTCAATTCTGCCTATTCACTTCAGTAACTATTTACATCTTATTTCTACTACTCCATTAACCTTGGAGACGGCCATTCTTTATGGTTACACATATTCACTCTATAAAATGTTTCTGTACAGTGTTATAGATCTGCATTGCACCATACAGAAAAGCCAAAAGACACGTCACATTTCCTGGCAAGGGAGCAGGAACAAAGACTGGATTAAGACAATGGGAAGGGCAAAAGAGCAACATAAATTAATGAAGCTTTGTGTTGCTAATTACTGGTTGTGGCTTGTTATTATTTTATTTGAGCCTACCATATTTCTGATGGCAGAAAAATCAGTGGCAATCAGAAAAGGTGTTTAGCATGGAGAGCAATTTGCATTCCAGAAGGAAATGCAATAGCATCACCTCAATAGGTGAACAGCAAACCCGTAAGAAAGGGCTCACAGTGTGTTGGGAAGCTCGAGGCAGCTGGTGGCCACTGAATCCCTCTGTGGATGGATGTTTGGAAAGTGTGTGTAGACAGTACCAATGTCAGGTGCACCTATGCTGGATGTTTACATGTGTTTAATGCAGAGCATTTGAAAACAAAAACTGTATCTTTGTGTAGTGGTAACAAATGTGACTGGTTCTTATTGTGGTCAAAGGCCATTACTTGTCTGAAAATAACAGCGACTATGTCACTCTGGCACAGAATTGAATTATAAGTAGCTGCAGTAAATTTTAGGAAATAGAGCGACATAATTTATGCCTACTGTGGGAGATTCATACCTACTTGTGTAACTCCTGGAAATGTACTTTCACATGTATGTTCCTGGAATTAAGAATATTAAGAAAACACTAAATACCTCTGCAGATGCATTTTAGTTTGAAATAGTTTGATGGCTAGTATGAAAAATAACCAGGCAGCAGGTTTAAAGCAGAATGTTTGGAAACAGTGGCTGCTGCTTTCATGCACCATCCAGGGAAGTGTTCTTGATGGACAGTTGAGTATGTTTGAGGAGTCAGGGAGAGATCTCTCTGAAGAATGGTGTTTTAAGATGCAAGTTTAGACAAATGTTCCCAGGGCATCTAGGAAGTGATAGGGAATCTTTTCTTTGGTATGTATCCTCTGCACTGTTAGCGGGCAACAAAAAAAGCAGAAGAAAACAGCTTCACCTAGCATAAGAAAGTTAAAGGATGGCCATGCAGGGACCTGCATGTCCAGGACCCTCTGCTAACGTGTTGGGCAGGACCAAAAATGCTACAGCCAGGTTAGAAAAGCAGGAAGAAGAAGAGAGAGAACTAAAAGTGTAGAAAATGTGCAGACACCAGACACCGGTGCAAAGGCAGATTTCCTGAGAGTTTCTTTCCTACTGCTTGGCTGTAGGCACAATAGCAGCCTGAGGATAACAGAGAAAACGAATCTGGGAGCCAGCTGCTTTGTTAAACATAAGTGATGTAATGGGTTATGATTCAATCACACAACAAAATGGGGAGAAAGCTAAGGAGACCAAAATAGTGATGTCTGCCCACTTCTAGCAAAGAAGCAAGAGAATCCAGAATATTAGAGAAGTGGGCACAGTGCCGTCACCCTGGATCTTGGACATGAGAGGTGGTAATTAGCTGTGGCCCATGATAAACCTGATGAAGGCAGCCAAAACTGTAACCTTTTAATCTGACCCAAAGTCAGAGAAAGCTGGATTGACTAGACTAAAACAAAGATTCCTGTAATAACTCCTCAAGATTGACAGTAACACAGGACACTAATGAAGGAGAACATCTGCAATATTGAGTATTGCTCTGTAGGAACAGACTGAGTTTCTGGCACCATTTTTGCCACAAAAGGGTCACTATAAACAAAAAGTTACATTTCTTGTAACAGAAAGAATGTAAGCGTTCCTTTCTCCCATCCCCAAAGTACATGAGCTGCTCTCCTCCAGCACCTCGAACATATATATATAGATAACATGTTCTATCTATATATATAGATAGAACTTATATATATATAAACCCTGCCGTATTGTATCTGTAGCAACATTTACCACTGAAAGATGGTTGCCAGTGGTCCTTACATTGAATAGTTTTGTTGTTTTCTTCCTCAACCCAAATGGGATAAACTGACAATCTGACAGTAACAGATTTACTGCTTGCAGGATTAACTTCCAATGAAAACTGCATGAGTCTTGAGCCACATGAGAGAACTATGACAGGCTTTTCTTCTACATGACACAATAGCCAGCTCTAGCATGTTCTCTATGCATTTCTATCCAGAGAAGTTCCCTAGAATGTGCTCTAGAACAAGCACAGCTGCAGGGTGGGGGTATTACTCCTAACTATGCGAACCAGGGACAAAAACTGAGGTTAAAACTTCTCTGTCCAAAATCAATCATCAATCTAAACAGAAGGCACTTACAGCTTGGACTGGCTGGGAACATTAATCGCTCAGAGACATGTTCTGATTCACCATTTATTATTTTCATGTCACAGATGAGTTTGCTTCCCAGTAGTACTGCCATCAAAGAAAATGACTGTGGGTGAGGGGCCACGTTTGTAAGTACTGCATTTGTGCAAAATAACATAATGACAGAGCACAAAAGAACAGAAAAGGAAGGCAGTGATGCATACCTTTTCCTGGCTCACTCATTTCTGTAAGACTGGCCTGTTCTTGTTCTTGGAATAATGTGTAATCCTATTAACTGCGAGCTTATTCAATTCAGAAGTGAAGCACAAGAGGCCAGCTTATTGTGTAATGCTTTAATTATGTTCCTATAGCTTTAACATCCCAATGCTATCTTGCTTGTAAGTGATCAAGAAAATGAAATGATTTTCATTCTAGTTCTCATTTGTCTGTAAATAAATATCAAGGATGATGCTACAAAACAAAATTAAAGCTAATTAAAGCTACCTTCCCTATTTTCTACGGACAATGCCTTTACAGAGTGGGCAAAAGTAGAAGTTAACAGGTTTTACTGGAACAGGAATGCAAATGAAAGAACTTACACCATATGGAAGGCAAGAAGCTCACTGCCAGTTCATGGGTTTAGGAGTGAGAACTACCTACTGAAAAAGTTAAGCTATCAGGGTCTAGACAGGTAGATGAAGAGAAATGTCAATCCTTTACAACTAGCAGAAACTTTCTGACTTATTTTTCTAGTCATTTGGTAGTCAGTAAGGCTT